TATATATATAGTAACTCGAATATCTTGAGAGAGAACTAATAAATATTTTTTCATGATTAAAGTATCATTTCAAGATTTTAGGCTCTACATTTTTATGCATATCATCACACCAATTTCAATCATACAATCTACAAAGCAATACAAAAAAAAACCTTTTACTTAATTGAGGTTGCTGTTTTCAATGCTTATATCCTATTCAAAATGAAAAGTCTAAATCAATTGTTTTCTGATTTTAAATTACAACTAATTGAAAGTATTATCGGAAAATATGGTTTAAAACGTAAATTTGTAACGAGTTACGTAATAATAGTAGATGTCGATTATATAATATTTTACGTTTGACAGCTAGATACTTTCCTTCTTCTATTAAAAAAAAGATGAAAATCCTCCAACAGGACAAAAAAGATGTATTGTTTTTACTACAGTAGTGAACAAAATTGCAAACAAAAGATTTAGATTTAAATGTAAAGAGTGTAACGTCAAGCTCTGTATAAGTGACTATTTTCAGATTTGTTACGCAAAAATGATCTTTTAATGCATTGTTATTTACTAAAATCATCATTTAAAATAAATATTTTTTTTTTAATAACCGGCCTTGAAAGAATTGATTAATTAAGCTGATCTTTTATTGGAACAGTATGCGTCACAATCTGCTTGCTTGAACTTTGGTGTATTGTACGAATGGTAGCGGCAATTTTGACGTGTTCAGATGTACCAAAAAATTGTATTATGTATTGTTAACAATTTTTAATGCTGACAATATATATTGGAACACAGCTCTCATATATTGTAGGCAAGCGATCTGACGATTCACGCTTACCAGAGAATGAGATCTTAAATCCCATTGCATCCCCTTTTTAAATCAATTCAATTTTATTTTCCTGGTTTATGTAAATCACATTATTTTCAGTATTTATTAAGATCACGCAATTTTTTATTTCTTTGGAAATGTAGAATATTGGAAAATTAGCAATGTAAGAAAAGTAAAAAAATAAATAAATAATAAATACAATATGTGTATATTAAGATACAATTTCCGGTTTAAAATAAAGATATCTTTTATTCTTCAAATAAATAATTTTTATTTTTATTTTTATTATTTTTTATTATATATTTTTTCTTCTATTTTATTTTTCTGTATTTGTATTTTATTCTTTTAATTGTATGACTTTTTTAAAGAAAATGTGTTGACTCTTACTTTGCCCTTTATTTATTGTTATTTATTTTGTATAGAAAGTATCCTTGGATTTTGTTAATTATTCTTCAAATAATTATTAAATTTAATAATTTTGGAAAGAGAGACGGTTAATTAATTTATTTTTATTAAATATAAATAATTTATGTGTAAATAAAACTTATTAATTAACGTTATATTAATTAATTTATTATTAATTAGCTAATTACATTATCTTTGTTATGTTAAGGTTCATTAAATGTAATTTATCAAATATAATCATATGTCATTTTCAATATTCTTTTTTGTAATTTTTGATGCGTCGATATGATAATCGCCGTGCCTAAATAGTAGCTTTTCGCAAATAGCGCAGTTGCACGCTTATCTCGAGAAAGTGAATCGGATAAAAAAAGAGCTGCAGTACCGTCAGCTCGAAGAATAACGAGGTTTCCCTCGGTTGGTTAATCCGCCGCGGATTGGATCGCGCGAAAACACGTGCACTAACGCGATTTTCGGCGGACTCTCGCCCTCCGCCCTCTCGGCCTCCCACTGCCGGAAGTAGCGGAACCATGGCGGCGTCGGTGACACTCGGATCGTGCATCGTTTCACTTTCGATAGAAAAAATGCGAACCGCATAGAGCTGTTGCAACCAACATTTTGGGACAGTGAATCTGATGCCATCTGGAATCCGCGATTCTCTTCAGCTCAGTTTAGTTTTTCGAGATCTGCAATATTCAATTCAGAGCCTTTTATAGAATTAACGACAATTGACGGGTGTTAATCTTATGAAACTGTAACACAATTTTGAAAAATCTGTAACACAGTTAGGTATGTATTATACATACTAGCACTGACTGTCTATGAAATCCATTTAATATATACAGTGAATGCACAAAATATTCATACGGGAAACGTTGTAGAAAATCTTATTTTTAAAAAGTAAACATTAGCTAGCAATTTATTAACAAAAAATAAAACAGATTATGTATTTCTTAAATTTTATTTTCATTTTACTTAAAAAAGTGTGTAATAATTAAAATTATCTAAAATTTAAGCCAAAGTGAAAAATTCTATAATTATTTGGACGCACAAAAAATACTCGTCGAGAAAGCTTTTAGTTTAAAGATCATAAACACATGAAACTGTTTTGTTTGTATTAGGACAAAATATACTCATTATTAATATATTGCTACTTAATATTTATTTTCTACAAATAAAACTTTTTCATACAAATTTCTCCATATAGACACTTTTTGTATTTAGTGTACATTAATTAAAAGGCATTAATTAATTTCAGGGAAACAAAGTGACATAACTCATACAAAAAAGAATAAATACTAAATTGTAAGTTTATTTTAATAAGAATACTTCAAAGCTGATATGTAACATAAAGAAAATTAAATTGTCTAACGTTTTTGTGTAAAATGGCAATTGTTACAACAATAGATACAAGAATTTAAGTTAATAATAAATAATTAATTATAAATTCAAATATAATTATATATTTCTTAACATTACTTTACAGCGACAATTATATTATTTTTATTCATACAAATTTTTATTATCTGAACAATAACTGCATATAGTGAGTTTAACAGACCTAACTGCGTCAGTTTCGGAAAATTAATAACAAATCGAACGTTTTGTTTCGTTAGCAATTTCCGAGTCTACATTAAAATTTAATGTAAATTAAAATTAAAATTAAAATGTAAATTTATATCATTTAATAAAATATATATCTATTATTTATTATTTGTACATTATAATATATGGTCTGCGTGATTCATGATGTATAGATTATCTGTTTTATAGTGTTATAATAGCGTATGTGGCTCTTCTTGTATGTAAATGAGTAGAACGATTCTACGCTTATTGTTAGTATTGCATTACGAGTGTGACGGATCGTCAACGGCAACCGGAAATATTTACAGGACACCCCTCAAGCACGGACGCTGCCCTATCATTATCGGCCGCTTTGCCTGATTTATCGAAAGCGATCCGGCACGTGCCAAGTGATCATTACGCCCCGGTCATTAAGGGCCAGCACATGCTTATGTTTATATCGTAACGCATTTCCGCGTCTCTTTCGTAGCTTTGAGAAGCAATGCCTAAAATGCTTATCTTATCGACTACGAATTTCAAAATTAAATTTCTTTTAAACCGACATACATATAATAGATATAAAACAATATTTTA